TTCCTCATACTATGTGAAGATATGATTGTAAATTATTGTAGTAAGACACTGATTCTGACAAAAATTAGTTCTTATAAAACGTATTGCAACTTAACACAGCTAAAAGCAATGCGACGTCTAGCTTCTCCGTAATACTTATTCACTTCTGCAGCAGGAGTTGGCGAAGTAGTCCACCAGAGGCGCGCATGCTTAATGGCTTCGTTTTGGTGAGCAGAGACGTATCGTTACGACGGTCACTTGTTCCTAACATACACATCGCATTTACTCGTAAGCGCGAAGCAACACGAAAGTCGTACATCATGTTTCGTAAAGACAGCCAAGGCAGCGCTCAGCGATAGGAATTTGTCTCATTTTCGTTCCTTCTACCGCTACCAACTTCAACAACCTAAAATCCTACAAATGTTAGCACTGTTTCATTGTAACAATCTTCCAAAAGTTACAAGTAGGTTGAAATGAGTTTGAATCTCTGTTTTGGAAAGCATAATATCCGGAATTATACTTCAGAGTTCGCTGTAAGCAGAAAACTCTGGCCGGCTTGCGTTGTGGATTTCGTGTGAAAATCTAGCAAACGCTGTGCCTGTTTCAACTCGCCCTGCGTGGTTGGGAGTGACTGAGTGCCAGCAGGTGTAATGTGCCCCGTCATAAGCCGCGGTGAGCTACTGGCACAGCTGCCAAGCTAAATCATTCGCGTCATCATAACAACTGGATTATTACCTGATTCGAGCAACGTGGCAGCACTGGTCCACAGGATAATGGCCACACAAAATTCACCCCAAATGCAATTCGATACATTCTGTAATTTATTTTACGCAACTAAACTTAATCCTCGGGTATAAATTTTCCGATGCGATTGTAAGATTTTAAACCATTTCAACTGTACTCGTATTTACGATTGTCAACACATCAGATGAATGGCCTATATACAAAAATTAACTTATTTATAAGAGTTACGTTTTGCTTGATTGACTGATTGAACAATCGATCGATCCTTTCTGTCTTCCTTACTCTCGTCCTTTCTCTATTTATTTCTTCCCTTATTCTCTGTATTTTCTCATTTACCTTTTAGTGTTCCTCTCTCTCTCTCTCTCTCTCTTAAATGTTTCTTCCTCCTTCCTTCATTGGCTTGTTCTCTCTTTTCCCTTTTAATCTTTTTCTTTACGTTTTCTATCCTTATTCGATATTTTTTCTTCCTTAAAACTAACTTAAATAGTGAACAGATAGTAAGGATAATAAATTAGCAAATTTGTTAAAGAACATAACTAAGTAATGTGTGAATCTGTTTACCTAGCATTTCTAACGAACTGCCACGAAGTTCCAATAAATTATCCTCACATCTGGGCGACCTAACGACCTCAGGTCTTGAGAACCGGGAGCCTCTAATATAGTCGAAAGAACACATTTTAGACGCCGAATTTAATACCGTGATGAGTCGAGTTTGAAATAAAAAAAAAACGTGACCTGAAAAATTTCAGAATGTTCGAAACCGCATTCTACACACATGCCAGTTAATCACGAACGAAACTGGAATTTCGGGGAATAAATTTTAAGGGATTATGAGTGTATTTATCTGAGGAAAAACTCAAAAAATCTTGGGCAAACTCAACCGAAACATGTGCCTCGAACGAGTGGCGCCTTCACAGACATCAAGCAGCGAGCTCTGTTTACTCCGTCAGACCTCGCCATGGTCCAGCGGGATAATTGGTGCCTCAGCGCGCCTCACATGTGCTGCCGGCCATCATTATACTTCCTGTTCCTTTGTTTTTTAAACACAAAAAACAAATTACGTGCCAAAGCTATTTCTTGTGATTAATATACTTTAGATCTGTCTTTAACGTTCGCTTAATTTCCTTCCAGTCACCCTTCTACGCCCTTCCCTCTCGCAAGAAGTGATTATTTTTTATCTCTTACATCCCATAGACACACCATTGTATTATTTTATATTTCTTTTTAATGACCCTCGATTTGCGCCGGTTCAATTTACACCGATTCAGAATAACGCCGCTTTTGAAACCAGAAAGTCAAAAAGTGAAAAGAATTTATTTTGCTATTATTTATGACGTTTTAAAATGTATCTCGTACTGATTCTTATACTAAATCGTAATTCTTACATCGCTGATTTTGAATAAAAATTATAAATACAGTCACCTCAGCAATTACGTATGTTTCGTTAACGCGAATTTGCTCCAATGAGATCGATGAATCGGTAAAAGCTGTTTCTGAAATGTAAACTTTTGTATATGCGAGTTTGCTCTTATGCAGTTTCATTCCTGGCGCTTTAAACTTTCAAAAGGACTAATTTAATCTCTGGGAGGTACCGGGGTAATTTTTACTATGCGATTTTCTATAGGTCTGCGTCTTACATGAATGCAACTATCGCATAACAGCAGAGATGACTGTGCACATCAATGACATGAAAGAATCGCGGGTACAAACGAACTGCCGATTTTAAGTGTCCTTTATTTTATTTACGTTATTTCAGAACTTTAAATGTAACGTCATTATATTACTCGTCAATGTTTGGGTGCCGGGAACACGTCATTGACTTCCCATTAATTTACATTATAAAGAGAGTTTCAATTTACGCCGGTTCGTCCAGGAACGCATCCCCGGCGTAAATCGAGGGTTACCTGTACTTCATTTACATTACGATAAGAATATTATATAAAACAAAATGCTGTGTTATCTACACATGACACCTACTCGGTTTCTGTTGTTACGATGGGGCAGATCTGTGGGCGCTAAGGGGGTCAGCCCCCAGATAATAAATGAGCTAACGTGGAGCAGCAGAGAAATTTCATTGACTGAACTGACAACCAATTCTGTAGTTCGTTTACCTGACGGCTGATTGAACTAAATTTAAAATAAAAGCAACAGATCTGCTTATAAACAGCAGACGAGAGAAAATAAGATTGTCAACTGTATGTTAGCAAGCATTTAACGAATTTAGTCTGTGTCTAATTTACTCCTGAACTTATTTCTGACGTCATATCCAAATATCTTAACTTTTCCCCATTTTCAAAGGATTTATTACCATCATAACTTGTAGGTGTACAACATGAATTAAAATGCTGTAAAATGTCTAACAGTCTAAAGGCTTATATTATGATGGGCAAGGGAGAGACTGAATAATATTGAATTGTTGTGTGTGCATTTACAAGGAAGGACGATGTAGGAAAACGAAATGTCTGTCAAGATAACAGCATGCAGGATTTACTTCACGAATGTCCTTAAAATGTGTCGTGTTCCACCATGGCTCTTAACCCCTCATCATTGAATAATGTCTAGATCAGTGGTATTCAACCTGGGGTACGCGAAGATATCTTAGGGGGTACGTGAAATTTAAAAAAATATATTATTTTATGATAAACACTGAATAATCAGTAATGTAATTTATTTAATTTATTATAGATGTAGATTATATACTATGTCTAACTTGAATTATACACCAACAACTTTGGGGGTACAAAGTTGAAAAGAAATTATATCTGGGGGTACGCGAAGACATCTTAGGGGGTACGTGAAATTTAAAAATATATTATTTTATGATAAACGCTGAATAATCAGTAATGCAATTTATTTAATTTATTTTAGATGTAGATTATATACTATGTATAACTTGAATTATACACCAACAAATTTGGGGGTACAAAGTTGAAGAGAAATTATATCTGGGGGTACGCGAACAAAAAAGTTTGAATACCACTGGTCTAGATTGCTCAGGAAACCTGGAGTTAACAGAGGATATTTCTGGGGGAGGCTCTGCTTAAAAAGTATACAATTTTTGTTATAAAATGCACACAAAACAAAATGTAATATTCAAATAAGGATAAAATAAAATCCGTTTCGACGCTGTAGCCCTTTGTGTGGTTCCTGTAGCTAGACACCAATCTGACAAATCAATTAACAAGACGGCATACAAGAACCATTAGCGGGGAGTCAGGACATCATTATTTGGAAAAGGAATGTTAGAAAGGCCTAGAGGTAGAAGGAATGATAATATTAAAGCGTTGTCCTTAAAGACATATGATGTTAGAATTTGTCTGTATTAACGTGACTCAGAATAGGAGTTTCGTGCGAAGAATATCTTGACTGGGCTGAAATTACCTAGGTAGCAGTTTATGTGCAAGTCGTGAATCCCTTACAATCGTAAATTAACCTGACATTGTCTTACGAAAACTGTTAACAGCAGTGTTAATCAAATGCCACAGACATAATAATCCCGTTAAGTTTTGATCAATTCAACAAGAAACTTAAATATACAAATGACAGGCTGTTCAAAAACAAAGTCACGGAAACAGCTCAATGCAAGTGAATTACTTAATTATGTTAATTTTTCACACGTTTCTTTATTTTAAAATGTTGGCCAGACTGTGGCATCTGAAAGGGGCGGGATCTTTTGTTTTAGAGGTGGGGTCTAAGACTGGGGGAGGGAATGTTGGCAAGGCGCCTCCGCCCCCCTCCAAGTTGATCTTGTTTAAGTTCGTCTTGTGTGAAGTTGGAGATAGCACGCGGCCTCCGGACACAAGTCATCGAAAAGATCATTTACTTGGTGCTTGGTGCAATTCAGTGTTAGTTACGTCAAACACGACTGAACAGAAAGCTTAATTTAATAAAGTTCGTTATTGAATCAGCGAAGAATTATCACAGGCAATTAGAGGGCACATGGAAACAGCCAGCGTTTGTATCGAATGGCGATCCAGAAACGGGTTTAATTAATATAAACTGGTTTCCGGTAACTGGGTGGACAAATGGTAGCTTCTCAGTGAATTAAGCACTTCATTAGAAACAGAGTCTAGTATAGAATTTAATTACTGTGGCCCATAATTTAAACTGACATGTTATATAGCAAGCCTAAACTACTTCAAATTGTGGCTTCAGATGAAATTTCCATTTTACGCCATATAATTTTGTAATAAATAACAGATAGTTATTGTAATTTGGGTATATTTTAACAATTGTACCTTAGGATTATTTATTAAAAACGTAGTCCGACTTTTAAATACGTTTTAAATTAAACTATATGTTCGAATTTTTCAAAGTACTTCAGATAAAACCACGTACTTTCCTTTGAACCACACACACAGGCCAATAACGACCCTAAATATGTTTACAAACTGTCATAAAGACCATGTGACCTGTGGGCTTAATTCAATGAACGTTGTTGTCAAACGATGAAATGTTCAGCTTTCTGTAATATTACTGATAAAGTTATTTCACCTGATATTCTCAGATTACACAATTCCAAAGAGTTTTTTTTAAATTTTTATAACGATCTTCGAAGACGATGATGTCGTTTAAACTAGGCTTGTTTAAATTATCGATAAAATAGCTTCTTATAATAATTCGCCACACTTTATAAACATCTACTAATAAATACTGTGGTAATTAAGTTAAAATGCTTGAAGAGGATCAACTATGTTGCGTATGAAATACGAAATATAAACATTTTAATGGACTACTTAAACAAATTTCTAGTTTTGGTGTACCCAGTACATATTAATTAACTTAAAACAAACCAGACAGACGCTACAAATCAATTCCTTAATGGAACTAGTGCTTTATTGTGTTATTTGATTTGAAATTCACAAAATTTATCGTCCGCTAACCCAAACGGTTTTGCGATGATGAGCTACGGAGGAATGTTGATGACCACCGGTGGAGGCGCGCTGCAGTCGACACCTGGGGGATTTCCGACGCCCGGCAACTCAACGACGGTCTCGGACCTCGTGGGATTGACGGCGACAGAGAACTCCAGGCGCTTCTCCGTGAGCAGTCTACTGGAACTGGAGGAACTGACTCCATCAGGGACAAGACGAGGACAGGACACAGACAAGAGTGAAGGTACGTCCCTAACACCCGTCTTAATGGTGGGCCCTTCTCCTGCTTAGTCCACTCCGTTAACATTCAGTAAGAATGACTTGAAGATGACTGTCTTCTGGGATGTTGCGCGGTGTAGTCTGGTAGAAGTTTGTCGAGGTTTCAGAGGTCCTTGTAGCCTCCATTACCAGAATACACGGCCCAACAACCCAGAAGATAACCATCTTCAGACTCACCGCCGTGAAAACCTCAAATCCTACATAATTATTTGACTTAACGGCGTTTCTGTCAAATATAATCATGTAAACTACTATTTTTACAATCTGATGTCTGATATATTATCTGGATCCATGAAATGTATTTAGTACCTGTCTCTAAATGCGAGCTTGTTTGCAAAGAACTGTAGCAATTTCTTGAAAACTTGCCCAGGTGCTCTAGAGAGCGCTGTCATTTGGAACTATTATTACCAAAACTAATAAATAGATGCATGCTGGATCAAAACATCTGTAGATTTCTTAAAATCCAGATAACCAAATTGGACATTGGTTATGACCCATGTTACAACGGCAACGATATTATTATTTAAAATTGCTTCAATTCTCATTACCTCCATGAATAACGTGCTCTATATTCAATTCACTCTGTCCATGTATGCCTCCTGTTAAACGTTTTAGCAAGATAACATGTGCGTCTATTTTGTTTAAAATTACACTGTGAAATTGCGTAGGCTGGTTTTTTTTACGCTTAGCGTAAACAATTAAATAGGCCTATATATGTAGGATTTGTGTTTTTTTACGGCGGTGAATCTGAAGATGGCTGTCATCTTCATATTACGTAGGCCTTCATTTAAACTTCTCCATTAAGACACCATAGATCTTATTAACGGTTATTTCATTAAGGTCATATCCACTCAGTTGTCTGTAGAGACTGGAGAAACAAAACAATTTCTCACCCAGGATAGCCGTCATCCGGGTCGAGATTTGAAACCGGGACTTTCCGAATATGAAGCAGCAGTTTTAAAGTTAACAAGGCAAATACATGGAATGAAGGCCTACCAATTATCCTCATATGTTTTGAAAATATCAGTACATTTCTGTGCAAGGTAAGATTTATATTGGACCGGTAAAAATCAAAATTAAAATCACTGGACAGCTTTTTCTATATACCAAATTCTATGTAGGCTAAATTTAAGTGGTCATATCAGAGTTATATATGCTGTAAATAGTACCTTTCTATTATGAGTTCATTTTAAGCACACTCTGTAATGAAAACTCTGATATGACCACTTAAATTTAGCCTACATAGAATTTGGTATATAGAAAAAGCTGTCTAGTGATTTTCATTTTGATTTTTACCTATCCAATATAACTTTTACCTTGCACAGAACTGTACTGATATTTTCAAAACATATGAGGATAATTGGTAGGCCTTCATTCCATGTATTTGCCTCGTTAAATGTAATACTGCTGCTTCATTCCGAAAGTCCCGGTTTCAAATCTCGACCCGGAAGACGGCTTCGTCAGTTTTACGTTCAAATACATGGTCCCGGCTAATGTTTCAAAGAGGAAATTAAGAAATTTGGAAGATTACAAGAAACTATTTGGTACGCATTTAACAGACAAATTTTATCTGTTAGAATTTATCAAAAATTAATTCTCTGGCAGTGGAATACGTTATTTAATAAATCGTAATGTTTTTAGTTATTGATTCAGCAAATTCGAATGTTTTCCAATTCCCTGATACCACAGTAACAAAGTGGAACCGTAAGAAATGTAGCTTTTGGTTTAAGACGCATTCTGAGTGTCTCTGGCGGCTTCACAACACAAGGAAAGTTATCGCTGAAGCCTGGTTTGTGTCAAACATCCGAAAGACATGCGGCCACTTAGCAAAGCCGCGGGGAGTCAATAGTCAAGAGAGAGAGAGAGGCCTTGCGTCTTCTGGAGATCCACTCACACTGGGACACCGGTCAGAGGACAGTAGAAAGTTACGGGCAGAGATACAGAACTGGACAGCGCGGTTCTGCGTTTCATTTGTTTGCGTTCGTAGTGTTATTGATACTGATCCAAATTGTCGCACGTTTGAGATCTACATGGTCAAGGATCGTGGCTTTGAATTCCTCTCAAATCATAAATATTTGTTCACGTTTCTCTGTGTAGTTTTATTATGCGTTATTTTCACGAAGTACAAAGCGAGAACGCGTTATGGGTTGGTCATTTCTGTCTGTCCGTCCATCCAGTCGATTCAACTCGAGAACCACTGGGCGGATTTGGATGAAATTTGGTGTAGAATTTGCGATATTCTTCGCGAACTACAAACAAGGCAGATTTATTACATCTAAATGAAAATGACAAAGAACGCGAGAGGATATTAAGTATATTCCAGTACGGCAGACACTTTATAAACTTCATATTTATCGGACAATTCTTGCGACGGGCCCAAGGAGTCCTACTAATTTTAAAAAATAAGGATTAAATGTTTTAGAAGTTGATTATAAATTGGAAGAGTATTTGTCCGTAAACGCTAAAGGTGAAGAAGGAATATTGTTTGCTAATTAACATCTTATTCAATGGGACAAGTTACAGCTTGAGGGATATCGAGTAACAAACCGTAGCTTGTAACCGCCTTCTAACACTGTGAACTGATTGAGATACAAGGATCTCACAGTGGCGATAATAAAGATGGCCGCCTTCTGTGTCTGGTGGAAATTTACCGACTTGTCTTCCTGATATTTGAGGCAGCAAACACCTCTGAAACGTCGGTAAACTCATAGCAAATTACACGGCACAACAACACAGAAGACAGAATTCTTTCTGTTAACTAGTTACATGAAAAAGAGTCCTTCTTGAGAAGCTCACAACGGCCCGAATTGTCAATAAATTCGCTGTCCCGAAGATTCATTGCCATCTTCAGAGCCACCTGTCCAATCTACGCGGGCGGTGAATACGAAGATGGTTTGTCTTCTGGGTTCTTGAGCCGTGAAGTCTGGTAAAAGTTTCTCAGCGTATTAGAGATACTTGACCTGAGGACATCTCCCTGATGATGGAGGCAGCAAGGACCTCTGAAACGTTTCTAAACTTCTATCGACGCTAGAACCCAGAAGACAACCACGTTAAAATTAAAACTGACCTTGGGTGAATTGAGATTAGCTGGCTCAGGATTTGGTCTAAATGACAGACTTTCGTGAATGTGTAATGAATCTTCGGGTTGTATAAAAGTAGGTCCTTTCTTTTATCAGAAATATAACTGTTAACTGTTCAAGGGCGTTGTTCCATATGAATGATTGTGTTTTTTCAGAGAGTACATAAGCCTATATTATGAGCCGGGATAGCTCAGTCAGTATAGTGACTAGCTACGGGCTGGACGGCCGGGGTTCGATCCCCGACGGGGCAGAGGATTTTTCCTCTAGG